AGCCGAAATTTATCTGCGCCGAAGCTTTTCGTGTAACTTAGGAGGCAGCCACGCGCGCGCGCGCGAGTCTTATATTATACGCGCGTCTTATATACTCGAGCCTATATGTACAAAAAGGAGCAAGACAAAAAGTTGCATGTAATCCGCTTCGCCCTGCAGTCAATTGCGTATTACACACTGCAGCTCGAGAAACTCGTACGTATCTCACGTGTAAAGTTGAAAATTCGAACATTATTAAATGTAGCGCACTGCCAAGGCTAAAGATAATATACACTTTGAGCTCCATCTGGAATATTTCATCGTCGATACTTGCGAGCTCGCGCGCGAAGTGTGCGCGCGCTCAAAAGCAAACTCATCAAACGATCTGCGCGCGCGCGCGGGAGCCCGTAACAATTCGGCTGTGAATAAGAAAGGAATAAAAATCCGTAAATCCGAGAAAGAAAATGAATATAGTACGTTGTGCATATGGAAACGAGTGCCGTGTGCTAAAAATCGAGCGGGAAAAAAAGAGGCGAAAAAGAGATCCAAAAAAATGAAAAGAACAATGTTCGGCTCGGTGTGAGAGTATGTGTTTATGCTTGCACGCGCACACGCGTGCTCGGAGCATCAAGTCACCATTTCCATTCCGGAGCGTTCGCTCGCTGGCGCACTTTTATATCCCCGACGTAGCACCGTGTATAGCTTCTTCTTTTTATTTCCACCTGCTGCTCTCTGTTCTCTCTCTCTCTCTCTCTCTCTGGGTGTCGACTCATATATTTTTAGGCGCCGCGTATACACGTATGCATATTTGTTATCGCGCGAGATTTTTCGACTATTATACGCGCGCGCCTAGCCGTTGCCTAGAAAAATAAATCGAAAAGTTGAATATACGCATGTATATGGAACGACGAGCGATCGTGTCTCTTTCCCTTAATCCGGGGCTCTTTCGTCAATCGGCGTCGGGTTCGTGCGCGCTTGAATTACGACGCACACGCGTATCAGCGATTAGAAAACGATCGAATCGCAGATTGGCGCGTCGATCTCGGCGGGCGATACATAAAATTTTATCTCTCTATACCGCGTTCACTTGGACAGTCGATCTGCATTTAATAAAAATGCGTTTCACGATTGAAACGCGGCGCCAGACGTCGTGGCGTACAATATGCATGCAGCCTCGAATCAAAAAGTCAATTTGGCGGAGCGGAGGCAATATATAATAGTAGCCGCTGCTGCAGCCATGGAAAATTGATCATTTAGCGCTCGGGAAACGGTAGCGAAACTTTTTGCCAAGACGTCTTAATAAATCCAAGTTTCCGCACGTATACATAAGCGAATCGCGAATCGATTGATTCGTTTCTACGTTGCAAAGTCCAAAGGCAGAGCTGCTGGCCTTTGGGCTCGACATTTGGCTGTAAGACTTTTTTTCGTTGTAAGAATCTCTGGTGCGCCACGTGCCAAAGATAAATGCATGCATCCTCTTTGGGCGCCGTGTACGCGACGAGACTCTGCTATATACATGCATCGCATCGCACTGCGTATATACGGCTCTAGATTATCAATTCCTCTCCTCGAGCTCACCTCTATATACACAACCAAACCGGCACAGCAGCGGATCTTTTCGGTTTTATCGCGCGGGAATCCGCACACTTTATTTGCCTCCTATGTATATTTCATGAAATTCGCCTTTACACCAACGCCGCGTGGCCTGTATATTATGTATAGGATTCCCTGGTGCTGCCTCGGCTACTACTACGTGCACTCATACACCGGCGTGCTTCTCGAGTTCAATTCTGCAACACACGGCCCGAGCAAAAAGCTGCATCCAGCGTAGGGGGGCTCGGGCCTGCGCTAAGAGTACGCGCCAACAATAACAATGGTATCGAGGCCAGCCATGGCCGGAGCCCCGACTCGGCTACGTTTACGCTTTTCGGGCTGAATTAAACTCGAATATAACTGGAAGCGCCGGTGTACTACACGTACACGAGAGCGCCGAGCTTGACTTTTGCAGGTGTAGTATAGCGGAGACTCCGAGACTCCGACGCCGTTGTCGTACACATACACACACACAGCCAGACTTGCCTGCCGAGCTTTGTATTACACTTACACCTATAACTTATTCTTTTTCCTTTTTTTTCGCTCGGATTCCTCGTGTGGCGCCCCGTGTTTTATACAAAAAAGAGAAAGAAAATTTTCCCGTTCTTTTTTCCTCCTTTTTTTTCTTCTTAATTTCGATGCATTCTTGAGAGAGCTCTTGCGTGTTTACGATTGCTCGGGGAATCTCTTTCTGTATTTCCGTAGGCAACTTATATATTTTTTCGTATTTTTCATTGCAGTGCATGCTAGGATGCTAGCCGAGAGAGAGAGAGGAACGTGTGTTTATTCACGAGGGACGAGATGCGAACTTGGCTTTTTAATCGGCTTCTTCGCTACTGTACTTTGAAATCTAGCGCACCCGACCCAAGATTTATATTTATACAGCCGAAGCCGCTTTGTTTCTCTGTGGACTCTAGTGGGCGTAATCTTTATAATTTCTCTGGATCGCATGGTTGGATAAAAATCCTATACGAGACATTTTTCGTGAATTTTCCCATGACCCGTTCCTGGTCGAATCGTCTTTCTTGTAGAATTATCGTTTGTAGACGAGTTTTTGATTGCAGATAACCGACGGTTAGATTTTCATTTTTCAACGACATTTCAATTATATTCGAGATGATCGTCGAAAGGTGTTTCCCAATCCATTGGAAATTTATTCGCACGTTCTATTGGTCGAGTCGAACTCATAATACTCGAGGGCTCTCGCATAATAGCACTCAAAACGTCTCACTATAAACATGCCTCTTCTCCGAGTGATTATTGTTGTGTCTACTCTTTGACAATAAAGGTAAAGTAAGGAAAAAAAAAATTCGCCTGAATATCCCTCCATTATAGGCCGTAGGTAAAAAGTCAGCCAAAGAGCATTTGCGGCGCGCGACACCCCCTTGTCTTTCAATAGAGCCAGATTCTCGGTATAAAATAGCCTATTTCACTTGTGTGGGTGTGTGTGTGTACGTGTAGGTGTACATAGAGAATCAGTGAGTGTGTGTACCGAAACAGCCGTCACCTGCGCATTGAACTTGACAATATACAAGCATAATACCTCTGGCCCGACTGGCCAGCGCATTAGGTACAATAAGCCGGAAGCATAAATTAAAAATGCCTCGACACCCTTACTATCGCTCTTGCACGGGCATATACACCAGCGAGGCCGCGTGAAATGTGTGAGTGGAGCTACTTGTATCTGTATGAGCCAGACAAAGTGTTGCTGCTCCCAGACTGTGATTTACCTGGTACCGAGCTGTATATAGATGTACCACACCGAGCCATGTACCTTTTTTTTCACGAAAAGGTCGAAAATACGGACGCTCAGCGAGAAATTTTCGACAGAAAATTCTCTACGCCCAAGCCCGAGCGCAGACAAAAATGAAAGATTCGGGCCACAGCATTTATTATGGATACATTTTTTCTTCATTATTCGGCTACCAAGGGCCACGAGGATGCTGTGTACTCAAAGTCTTTTAATATACTGACTCGTAGGAAAATAATTTTTTCTCCGTTTGAAAATTCTACTTTTTACAATTATCCTCGCGCCAAACATTCTGCGAAACATTTTCCATGAAATTTAACGCCAAGTTGCGACTGCACGCTTGACAAGGTGCGTGCGCTCGCATTCTCCGCATTTTTGTACGAATATTAATGATTACATCCAACATTGTTTGTGCATTAAGGAAATAAAACTAAATATAGCGCGCGAGCTGGAAAAAAGGGGGCAAAATAAAATGGAGAATAATGTAATTTCTACAATGAAAAGCTTTTTTTAAATATATATACTCTCGGATAGTGCGAGAGTACACTTTGGAGAGAGAGGAAAAATTTTAACGGAAATGCGGCGTGACACAGGCTCGTTTCATAGAAGTAGACTTCCGAGATTTTGCGCCCGCGCGCACGCAACAACAACAATGCTCGCTACTTGAAATACGGTTTCCATCGACTGTTTCATTTTCCGACATTAATTTTCTTTTTAAAACTGGAATTGCTCGATAAGATTCCTCAATTTCCCATCGAATCGCGAAGTAATAAAAAATTAAAGTTTTCATTACGGGAATTATCTTGTTAAGGCACTTGGTACTTATAGGAAAACACATTGGCTGCTCATACATCGAATACAAGTCGAAGTCGTTGGAATCGTCATTAGGGATTTTTATCGATTTTCCGAGAAACGACTCGAATTGGCAGTAAAGTAAGGCATAGACACACATGTATGCGGTCGGTAGTTTGCGGTTTTAAAATCATATGGTCCAGAGGCTGAAGAGACGCATGCGCGTTGACACATGGCGCCTCCGTTTAAAACTATTCCTATTCATCGGTCGCTGAATCGCTTCAATGGAAAATTGGGAGTCGCGAATCCAATGGCTATAGCTTAAAATTCAAGCCTGCCTGCGTATACGTCTCTTATATATATTAAAAGAGAAGAGCAATCCGAATTCGGGCCATCTTCGTCGCTGATTTATACAAAGGCCACACCACACGCGCGCAGATGGCTCTGGCTCGCGTCTCTATCTACAGATATATATATTCAGCGCCGTTGCAGCCAAGTTGTACGCGATAATGACACGTTATGTCGAGAGCCTCGCAAACGCGCACATGTGTATATTGCATGTCGATCGGTCGCGACAATATATAGAACCTGTATAATAGAAGCGCAAAGCTGCAGCAGGTTATATTCGTAAATACGCGGCGTTACGAGGCGAGATAGCAAATTGAATAGATGAACGAGCTATCCAGTCCTCGGCGTCGACAACAATCGATAAATAATAGAATGTACACCTATACGGCTCGTCCTGTTTTCGCATTTGTTATAAACGTATTTCATTATATACGCCGGGTGTATACGATGGACGTGAATGCGTATCAACACGACTGTCACGGCTCGCGTTGATCGTTCGAAAGGGGTCGTCGAAGTTGAAAGAACACATTGGACTTACGTTGAAGCGCTTGTTGTCTCTCTCGGTGCGCTCGAAAGCAGCGAACGCCGGTGTGTAGTTACATAAAAATTCAGCTGCAATGCAGCAAAAAACTTGGGAAGAAGGAGTCGATCGAAGAGCTATATAACGAGCTCTCGGCCCAGCAGGAAGGGAGCGCGAGTCGAGAACGATGTAGCACTACGTATACAGCACTCACTCGGTCAAAATATAGTTTCATTGGCAGTTTTCACACAGTGACACAGCGCGGAGTTCGGAGCCGCGAACGAGGATCCTCGCGTAAGCCAGTACACACGCACTCACGCACACACACACTGTAGCTTAGCCGGAGGCACACGTGCGATCTCGTCGTCGGAGCGATCGGCAGGCAATGCGCGAAACGTCGCTTGGACAGAGTCAACGCACGCGATTCGCACGAGTAATAGCGGCGTAATATAACAAGAGCTCGAGAGAGAAAAAACAGAGAACGAGAAGACGCGGAGCACAGAGAGAGCGCGTGATAGAACGCACGGCCAGCCGGCAGCAGTTGCGCTCGGCTACTGGCCCTGTCTCACTCTTACTTGGCCCCCGTCACTTGGAACTTTCCGCACCCTCGTACTCTGCTGCTCCGCGCTCTATGTGCTCCGTATAGATATATACATGTATATAGCGACTATAGATGTATATATAGCGTGCGGCACAGCCACGCGCACTTTGCCTCCCATCCGTCTGCGCTCTATCCCCTCCACATCTCTCTCTCTATCTCTTTCTCTTTCTCGCTTTCGCGCGCGTTGTGCCGCCGACGCCGCCGCCGCATGTGCCACTGCATAGACGTTATATAGCTCTGCTTATTTACCGTAGCTGCTGTTTAGCGATGTTTCGGATTGACGATTGCCTGCACGCATATATATACGTCAACGATATCTCATAAATTGAACCTCGCTCTTTGATAATTGACCGATCCATCCTTTTTTCAATCTGTGCAGCTGCTTCTCGCTGTTCCATACGCGTGTCCAACTTCCGCTGAAAATATTACGCGATAATGTCAAATTCATCAATGTCCGCGCGTCCCAACGTTTTACAAAAATTCATTTTATTCTTTCGATTTAATGAAATAAAGAATCTAATGGCCTGTCGATATTTCAAAAGAACGAAACGCCGAAAATTACGTCGAGCCCCTTTGCTCGTTCCATGATGGCGTAATTTTTCATATCTATACGGCAGGGCGTGTGTAGTAGCTTCTTTTATTTTCCAGCGATTGTTTTCGACTTTTACAAATGAGTGTCAGTGATGACTCTCTCGTAAAGTCGACTCGGAACCCGGAACATTTAATGAAGCAAGCTGCTACTCAAGTGCTGATTAGTAGGAAACATAAAAGAGAGAGAGAGAGAGCTCGTTAAAATATATAAGACTCGAAAAAATAGACGGCCGATATTAATTTTGAAAAGTTATTCCATGAGCATCGAAGTAGCTCTCTGGTTTCATTTTCGTCTACGAGCAAGCTGTTTAATATTTTCAGTAATGCGCAATAACAATTTTCGTGAGCATTTTCAAGCTCTTCAGCCAGAACTGTTTGTATAGAGTGGCTATGCTCGAGCAAACAAACATTGGGGCTCTTTTTTATTAAGTTTCAGAGTAATAATCACAAGACTTATGTTCAAAAATAAGACGTTTCAAAAAATAATTCAATGCAATATATGACAGTGGAATAAAAATTATTTTCTAGAAATTCAATATACCTTGTCGCTGCTGCATAAGTATAAATTAATGTAAAAGCCAACGATGTTAATAAACTCTCGACTCAACTTTTACTTTAATTACATGAATCCTTGTCTGTTGTAGTATAGTGTTTTAATTAGAACGTTAATAAAAATCTTGATTTTAGTTTATAAATATTTGTAAAAAATAAATGTCAATTTTTCTACTGGAGCATCTTCGATTGAGTTGATTGTCACGAGGTAAGGAAAAAATAATTTTGCCCGATATTTACGAGAAAATCGTTGGCCGGGGTATTTTGAAAAACACCCGATATTATACAGAGCTCTGTAGCTATGTGCAGCGACGTCAGTTGGGATTTTCAACACACTACTCGTGCTCGCGGAGGAATAAAAATATTTTTTCTCCCTATATCGGGTCGAAAGCCTGTCTTTCTCGGTGTCGTCGTCTTCCACAGCAGCAGCAGGATTTTTTTCCTCGCACACACAAATCGGCGTTGTAGAGCAACGACGACTCGTTCATCCTTTTATTTCCTTGGGTGTTCTTGGAACCTTCTCGTGGAAAACTCGACAAACATTAAGCTCGATAAAAAGGTCTCGGTATGTATATACAAGACCGTGTACACGTATGGGTAAGAAAAAGAGTGCGGAGAAAATGTAGTGCACCTCGTACGTGGCTTGCACTATAGGCGACAAGCAAATGCGACCACAGCACATACGGAGTCGAATAAAATAGGCGTGTGCGCGCGGAAAAGCGAAGCCCCGTTATATTTAGAGAAAGAAAAAAAAATTGATACGACGAGCCAACGGCACGAGTCGTATGGGTATTTGTCATGCATAGGAATACGCTCTAGGGCCTTGGTTGCGGAACTACTCGCGCAAAAGATTCGCTCCGAAACCATACGATAAATACTCGCGTAAACGTATACAGCTATATAGATATAGCGCCTGAGTTTCCAACTTGGATGTCTATAGCTTATGTAGGCGTAGAGGTGTACACCTGTGCCGCATCCAGACTCGAACTTATTATTATTAGACGCGACTTTTTACAGCTATATGTATGCCTATGCATAGGTATGAAACCGACTGAAACTGAAGAGAGTTTGATGCGAATACGTGTGTATGATAAGCGGCCGTTTTCGAACTACATCCGCGTATGCATTGGCCTTTGGAGAGCAGACTAGACAGCGCATATAAGGTCGCGGGCGAGTTACATTTGGCTTTTGAAGGAAACGAACTTCATATGATATACATACGATATATAAGGGCTGTAAGGGCGGCGCATGCGTCGAGACCCGCGTCCTACGGTCCTCTTTCTATGCTTTGAAAACTACATATATGTAATAAAAGATTCGCCGTGAGAGACGCGCGGCTTAAGCCGTGAGAGACGCGGCAATATCGCGCTTTTTATACGAGATTTTCTTTTGATTTTCATACGTGAGCTCCTTTCAGTCGCGGAATACGTGAAATTTTCATAGGTCGGATCGTACATCTCGGATATATATATATATAATATATATATGCAGCGTCTAGCTCGAGCTCCTGCGCTAGTTGTAACACTTGTAAATTATATAAGAGACGCATCGACGTTATTCCTCGAGCAGCTACTCCATTATTCACTCGCTCATGTCTTCCCGTCGCATCTAAGTAGCGTAATACGCCTGTGTGTATGTATGTGTATAGCGGAGTCGGCGAAAATCACCCAGACTGCTCGTCTCGCGACATCTCATTCGATATTAAGCGCGAATATTTCGACGGCTGCACCGGACCGACTTTTCCTTCTCCCCATCTCAGACGCGCACAGGTTAGACGCGCAGCAGCTCCTTTCCCCGGCCCGACGATATATATGAAATATGCAAATTTCATTTTCAGCCCAGAGGACAAATACGCACGTATACACACATATGCGCTAGGTGGCATTGCCTCGCTGGTCAATGGGCTCCACAAAAGTAAGTAGGACTTTTATTACCGCTCCTTTCCCTTTTTTCACCTTATAGCACGTGCTAGCGCCTGCCCCCACCCACAAGGAAAGCATATGAGCTCCACGTGATGATAATAAAAAAAAGTTAACTCCCATATAATCTTCTCGAACGGGCCCGCGCGCACTGCGAGGACAGATATTATATTCTCCGATGTGCGTACGCGTCCTCGTATACCGACCTCTATATGATACGAAAAATAAAGGAATTCCATTTCTCTCGCTCTCTCTCTCTTTTTATTCCAACACATTGCGAGGTAATTTTACAGCGGCACAGATGTACTATCAGCGAAGCAGAGTCCATGAAGCCGCCTCGACGAGCGTTGCGTTGCACGTAATAGCATACAGAGCCGAGCTTGTTAATACTACAACGAGCCGGGCGCACTTATAATTTATGCCTTATATAGTTGGCAATATTTTTTATTTCTCTGCTGCGAGGCGTAATGATTAAATATAAATAACAACTTTGACGATCCATTACTGATTTAGTTTCCACTTGTGACTATTGCTTCGAGCGTGCTCTCTTGACTACGAAATGCTCGTTTCTTCTTTTTATCAAATTGTTGATAAAAAATAAAATTAAACTAGACCGTAATCATTTTTTCATTCTATAATTTATGTGAGCGCGCGCGCAAACCGTTTATACTTTAATTTTACATCATAAAAGCTCCAAAAGTTTCTGCAAGTGGGCTTTTTAATTTTAAAAGTTTTGAATTAATTCTCGGTCAGTTTTTAATCGGTTTAAACTATATGAATCGAACGAACAACGACCATCACTTATATAAACTTACGGAAGATAATCATGTAGAGGTTTAATGCGCTGGGGTTAATTAAAGTTATATTTTGAACAGTTGAATCGAAACATGAAAAGCAATGGAATTATAGCTTTTCCATCGAGCTCGACGTGCCAATCGACCGACGTGATAGACAAACCGTTTTATGCACAGTCCAGATAATAAAGGAGCTAAAATTAAGGAGCTCAAACATTGAGCCAAGACAAATCAATTATTGAGCTTACGATTCGAAAATGAATTTCTATATAGGCATCTGCGCATCTGCGGGTATATGGGAAAGTTCAGCAATATGCTCTCGAGCTTAATCTTGGCCCAAGTAGAGAGGGAGAGAGGGAGTGAGGGAGGTGATATTATCGATCAAGGAGCGCACGAAGCGGAGCATGTAGCCAGGCGCTATATGAACTGCATACAAAGCAACAGCTAGTGTGCGCGATCTACTGCAGCAGCCTAGTATATATGTGTGTGTGTAAATGTGTGCGTTGCATATATACAGCGCCGAGCAACATAACGCGAGGAGCAGCGAGAGAGGTTAGCATCGAAACTTTCGATGCATCGTCTATCATTAATTTCTCAGGCGTGCAGTATCTGCTTGCCACCCACCCAAGGTTGCTTCGGCACAATCTTATTAAGTGGAGCTAAAATTAAATTGTCTACAGTGCGCCACAAGTTTACCCTGTATACATGGATTCTATACCTGTATATTATTTCGCCTAGCTGCAACTATTACGGCAGCTATCGTTGCTCGACGCGCCCGTGCAGCAGATGCGAAATTTTGACTGTCGCAAGTAGAGAGAGGCTACCGCTCGAACGAGCATACAACGAGCTTCCTCCTTTTTTTTTGCAACCTGCCGGGAAATCGGCTTCTTCTAATCGAGTAATTTCATGTGCAAAACTGACGCTTTCGAACTATCTCTCTGTTTGAAACAATTACAATGAACGAGTGGACCGTAAACATTTTCCAACGAGCTTGGCTCGATGAACCTTATTGATAAACATCTCTTTTTATACGTTCACTCAGCTT